AGCAAGGCAGAAACTCTCCCGTGCGATCCCCATATTGATCTTTTGTTGCTATAAAATATTTTGCAATTGTCTGACATCCCTTGCAGAGGGTGCCTGCTCCACATGGGTCTTTGGCTCTCAGTGGGACTATTCTCACTTTGTTGAAAGGCGTTTAATTTCGATTGTTTGATTTATATAGCTCCCATGGGAATTAATGAATATATTTTTCCATTTATGAATATTTTCTAATAGCTGTATTTTCATTCAGAGATATAACTTTGTTTGGGCAGGTGTGATATTCGCAGACTTACCCAAGTTAGTTTGTAGTGGCCTGATGTCTTCCTATAAACTCCAGGCACTAGGAAATATATCAAACATTTACAAGTTTCTTCACAGCCCAATCCTGAAATCCTCACTCAGTTTTCACTCTATCCTCTCATATAAAGCTCTCGTTGGAGCAGATGGCAATTTTGCTTAAGCAACAACTTTTCCCGTGGTTTACAAGGGATGGCAGTGGGGGTGACAGAGACAGGATGTGGAGTAGAGGAACTGGAAGCTTTGATCATTTGTCTGAGGCATCTCTACAGAGAGAGAAGTTTGATTTTATAAAATATATGGATAGGTCTTCAAAATAAAGCTACAAGCTACATTAAAAAAAGATACGTCAATACAAGCACAGCTGGGAAGAAACTCTATATAGTTGTCATCACACCCAACCTTGAAAACAGGCAATTCTCCTTAATTGATATGACCCTGATCCAAAGTCCACTGAAGTTAATGGAAGCCTTTCCACGGACTTCAATGGGATTTGGTTTTGGCCCTATGTCCAGGTGCCTTTCCCAGACTATTCTAAAACTCAGTCCATACGCTTTGTAGAGTCAACACTTAGCCCGCTTTATTAACAAAGAATTTAACAATAAGAGAAAGTTCAGTTTGAGCCTTGTCTCCAGGCATGGCTGCTCTAAGGCTCCTATCTCAGAACAGCTCAGCCCTGACCCTGGGTCCTCCTTGCTTTTCAATCCAAGATTCCTCCCCCCTTATATCAAGTGCAGAGCTAACTAGCCACTTGGAAAGCGTGGGCTGCTGGGCAATTCCCAGAAGGAACAAAACCTGCTAAGAATGCCAGTTTTGCTCTTCCCTATTATCATCAGTTATTAACTAATCAGCCTGACAGTACTGGGGATGTCCTGGGAGGTTCTGTAACCCATTCTGCCATGATGCCCAGTTCAAAGAGCTGCTAATTCTTATTTTATCGTGCCCTTGTACTGCATAGTGCTTGATATTGTCAAAGCCCTGTATGAATTTAACTAATGAATGAAACGTGAACTACTTACTAGATGACCCCAAAAGTCTCTCCCTACAATTTATGAATAAGAACTGAAAATCTACGTATTGCTGATGAAAGCATATGTATGAAATCTTTTAAAATGTCACAGCAAAAATATCTAATAATAGAATCCACCAAGTCTGACAAAGCAAGATAGAAATTCAAAAGAAGCCAGGAAAATAAAACATTCTTGTACAAAACCCTATCCTGGCAAGTTATCAACTAAATAATCAATAGGTCACTGTCATCTATGGTATTTACATCTGATCTGCATTAATATGTTGCTGTACTTGAGTGTCCCAACAAGGCTGGTAAGATTGCCTTCATTAAATCTACCTTAATGTAAAATTCACCTCGATTTACAATTCCGCATTCAGCACTGTACATTTGAGTGTAATGCTCTCAAACTTTCGGTTGTGTTCCCCTGCTGATTGGGCAACAGAGATATTTCAAGATGAATACGAAATAAAGAAGGTTGCAGAAGTCTTAGTAGTATCAAAAGAATAGAGAAAATAATAGAGCTGTGCATTAGCTCAGCCTTGTGTTACCATCCAGTCAATGTGCGTTATCGGTTTCTTTTACTGCAAAGTAGCCGACTGACCATATATTTCCTTAATCTCAGGTTTTATTAACCTATACATACGCACATACATACATACTGTGTCCGTGTGCATTATTCTGACCCAGAAAATCAATTGGAATTTAAACATTTAGAATACAGACAGGCCCAAGCCAAAATTCCAGAGCACTTCCCATTTTTAAGAAGGTGAATTTTAGCCCCCGTGAATTTAGAACGACAATAAGGTCCATGTTACTGTATAGAGCTCAGTAGGATAACACTAAAACCATGGACCCTTCTTTAACTGATGAGAATTCTATCTAACATATTTTTAAACTTAAAAAACCATTAAGAACATTTTTAAGTTTCCCCTTTTTAAAAACCAGAGCAGGACAGAATCTCTCCCATCAAAACAAACACCTACTACAGATCAGTTTAGGCAGGCACAAAACATAAGCAGTGAAAAAATCCCTCAAAATGCCTGCTGAAGTATGTCAGCTACTCCCAAATACAAAACTAATAATACCCCTGTGCCTTATGTTCCACACACACATGCAACCTCTCTTCAACTGCACTAACACTACATTATTTAGAGAACAATGAGAAGTGACTCAACTGAAGTGTAAGTCTAAGGTTGTTGGACAGACTAAAGTAGGGGTTTAAGGTAAGAGGAACTCTATGCAAGCAGATTTTAAGGGGACATGATTTTACAGAGGGAGTGAGAAGGGATTTCATTTAAATCAACTGCCTTCACCAACCTGGACGTCCATGCCACTCATTCCCCACTGCCTCTGTAAAATAAGATCTCTTTAAATTCTACTTAATATACAAGTCCCTTTTACTCTGAACTCTTAGTTCTTGGCTGTCCAATGATCTTCGATTTACATACTTCAGTTGTGTCACTTCTTAATGGTCTCTAAATAACCCCCATCTTGTCCATCACTTCTTATATGCGAGTCCCTCCTTTCCGTTAACCACCTTCACTGCCCTACCTTGCACTGTCTCCAATTAGCTAAACCTTCCTTCAAATCAAGTAATCTAAACTGGACACCCAGAATGTGATCTAACTAATGCTAAGAATTCCTACCTAATATATATACACACACACCCCCTTCAGAGAATCCAACATCCTATCAGCTTTTACTGTAGCTGCACACAAGAGCAAATATTCAGATATTCGGTCTGTCAAAAAACCCAGGTCCTTTTCTGATACTGTATTAACTAAACCATTGCCATTTTAAACTGTGCTTCACTTGAATATTATCAACTTTATACAGACACATTCCATTCCATAAGTCATTTGCCCAGTCAATCAATATTAGTCTGTAATCAGCTGTATCCATCTGAATCTTAGCCACTCCCACTACTTCACAGCAACGTTTGCATCATTATCAAAATATTAATATAGTGCCCTGCAAGTATCCGTTCCTTGGCCACTTACAAAAAGAATATCCCCCTTTCACTCCAGCCCTCTGCATGCTGCTCATGAAACAAGAGAACAGTCCTGCAAAACTCTACTCACACGAGCAGGCCTTACTCACCGCTGCAGGCCTACCAGGACTAGTCATATAACTGAAAGGTTTACTCCTGTGGTTTCGGAGCTTTCAGGATCTGGCCTCAATCCTTTACCCATCTTCATAATTTATTATTTACCCAGTATTCTGAGAGTTTATAGGATAATCCATCCTGTGAAACTTTGTCAAGAGCTTTCTCAAAATCCAGATATTGTCTGCTGCTTCCCTTCTACCTAAATCAATATTTATTTAATTTAAAAAAAAGGAATCCAATTTGCGTGACATGATTTACCGTCCACAAATGCATGCTGACTCTCATTATTATGCTGCACCCTTATTAAACTGCATGCAACTGTATCCGTAAGCCACCAGGAAACGTATTTTTGAGATTGCATTTACAAACTTCACAATCCTGCAAGGTGCTAAACAGCAGAGGAGAGGCCCGTAACACCCATCAGGAAGTACTCACCACCTCAATCAAGACCGCAGTTACCAGATGAGTCTGTAATTTTCAGACTCTTATAATATTTCTTTGAAGTACCAGAACAATAGCCACTCTCTTCCAATTATCTGGTATAGCCCCATTATCATCATTGTTGTTATTATTATTTGTGTCGTGCTAACACCCAAAGGCCTCAATCAGGATTGACGTCCTCTCGTGCGGGGCGCTGTGAAAACGTTTAGGTAGAAACGGTCCCTGCCATGAAGAGCTTACAATCTATGGCTCCGATCCTGCAATGAGCACCGTTCAAAGTCTATGGGTACAGGGGTCTGCCTGCATGGAGCTTATTGCAGGATCATGGCCTAAACAGGAAAGACAGACAGACAACATACGCAAAGTGTCAGTGATACGTAACTGCTGGGGAGGAGCAGTTGTTTGTTGTTATAACTTCCAGATCATCCTCCCCACTGTGTTCCTCTGCCCCAAGACAGTCTGCTCCACTCAAAGTCCCTTCCTGCCACCTCAGCAGTCACCATTCACCTGCCTGATCCCTAATCTCATCTATTACCGGTAGACATCATCCTTTACTACCCCAATTTTACACAAATACATGTTTACCGTTGTTTCAGTATTCTCAGTCTTCTCCAACACATTGTCTCCTGCAACTCCTCCATGCATGTATTGCTAATGCTCTCCTTACGAAATACAGATGCCAAGGGAGCATGTTCTTCCTACCTCCTTAAGATCAGATTCCAACACTTCACACACTGAGTAGCCTCATTGATTTCAAAGGAGCTACTCGCAGAGTAAGGAGTTACCCAACATAAATAAGGGTGGCAGAATTCGGTCCTTATTCTGTTGCCCCAGGAACGGCTTCACCGAGTCTCTCCTATTTTTCATTCCCTCAGTGTATTTAAAGAATCTCATCCTGTTTATCTAAATATCACCACTAGCTATTTGTACTTTAAGATTTCCATTTTTCTCTCCATTCCTTCTGCTTCTTTTTATCAAGCCCTAACAATGCTGTCGGGTTATCCTCTTTCTGATTCTTTTATGTACATATATACATTTTATCTATGTATCACACGCACACACATTTATAATTAAAACCATAGCATAAATATATACGTAGGCAGCTGTTATCAATTTGCCAGTGGTGTTTCTGGTAAAGTATCCTACCTTGAATTCCATGGGCGTGTACTTTTCATTCTTGGGGGTTGTGTTGCCTTTGTAATGGAGATGGTTGGGAGTGGTTGGGTGGATAATAGTCGATTCCTGGGACTGCCGCTGACAGCGCTGACAGTACACATAGATCACAAACGTTAAGAGACTGGAACCAAAGAAGCAGGAGACCCCGGTGGCAATCAGATGGATGAGACTAAACCCTGCAAGCAAAACAACAAGTGACGCTCCTTTCAAAGAGCAGCCTTCTTCCTCTCTGGACAAGAGCACAGATACAAATCAGAGCTACATCATCTCGGATTCCATGGGGATAAGTTGCTGAATTGAATGGGTCCATACATTGTTTTCTCAAAGCTCTTTCCCTGTCTCCCCATTCTCTCTCCCTCTATTGATACTGAAACTAAACATTCTGTTAAGCTGACAGCAAAAGAAACGAGGCATACAGACAATACACGTTCGTGGATTCCGAAGCACGAGCATGTCATGGAAATAGGGGGCTACAAAAACTCAGTGTTTTATCCAATGGAAAATAAAAGCCCTCTTTGTTGGCGACCCAAAAATATCCAGTGGGGGAGGCGTATGGGTGGAAGCAGCATGACACATTCCTCCTTTATGTAATCCCCACAGATACGTCGACAATGCAAAAAAACACAAACAAAAAAACAAAAACCCATGGCAGCAAGTCTCAGAGCCTGGGCCAACTGACTCAGCCACGTGGGGCTCCCACTATGGGGCTAAAGAATAGTCGTGTAGACGTTCCTGCTTGGGCTGGGGTCCAGGCTCTGAGACCCACCACCCACCCCACCGGGAACGTCTACACTGCTATTTTTTAGCCCGGAAGCTTGAGCCCCACGGGCCTGAGTCAGTTGATTCAGGCCGAGACTCACAGCTCCAGGACTTTTTTGCAGTGTCCACGTATCCCAAGTGTGCTCAGCCATCTTGTTTGTTGATTTGGCAATTAGTCTCCCCCCACTATCTATGAGGTGTATTAGCAACAGTAAAGAGTGTGCTGGTAGGTGCACAGGAGGGGCCAGTGAAAGGGGGGGAAATGAGACGGAAACAAAATGGGCAGTGGGGAGAAAAGAAAATACCAAGGAAACTGCCTGAAATATTCTTTGATCAAACTTCTCCATGAGCTGCCCAGACAGAATTCCAGGCAGGCCCTGGCGAGGCAGCTATAGTACAAAGATGTCGAAGAGCAGAGCTCTTAACCTCAGGTTTCAAACACTTCCAACACAGCATGTTATCTCCTGGAAGAAGATGCATATCTACAGGCAGGAGAAACCACAGGTGCTGGGAGAGGTAAATGGAGGAAGTCAAATAAACGCTAGGAGAGAGTCATCCTTCATGTTCTTCATTCCAGATTCACCCCAGAGAACCTTTACATGGTCAGGGTATAACCAAACGGCCAACAGCTCTCCACCTTACACAAGAGGAACAGCCCTGACTGGAGTCCATGGCACAACCAGCACTAGCAGATGTAGGAGCGGGGACTGGAAGAGTCTTGCGCAGCACCCAGATGTGATCTGTTTAGTGTCCATCTTCAATCTGAGGCTGCTGCTTTCCAGTCGAAAGAGTGGAGCGATTTGAGGAGAATCAGCAGCGTTAGCCCAAATGTACATTTCTACTGACATTGGTCTGCTACACAATCTTTCCAGGAAGGACGACGTGGGCCACAAAAGTTGAGAGGAACCACTGCACTACTGTCAAGTATCAGGGGGTAGCCGTGTTAGTCTGTATCTACAAAAACAACAAAGAGTCTGGTGGCACCTTAAAGACTAACAGATTTATTTGGGCATAAGCTTTCGTGAGTAAAAACCTCACTTCTTCGGATGCACTGCACTACTGAACATCAACATGCTCACCGCTGAGTGCAACCACTTATGTTCAGAGACTAGCTACCAGAATCTATGGGAGTAACTATGACTCTATGACTGACTCTCTTCAAGTGTTCTACTTGGGGGGATCGGGCTCTTGAGGCATGAAGAAGCAGCTTCGTTGAGGAGGCGGGGGTTGACTCCTCCCAAGCGGCCGGCGCTCCAGCTGGATAAGGAGGTTGCACCTCTCCTCTTGAGGTTTGCTGATTCTCTCACTAATCTGAACCTTTTAGGGGGAAAAGACATGGTTCACCGCTGATCCTCCTAAACAGATCTAGTTACCGGGGCAGCAACAATAGATCCTTAACCTTCCCGCGGTGCCTGCCGGATGCCACTTATATGGTGGTGACCAAGAGGATCTGCTGCCCTGCCCCACAGCGTGACTTGGGCTGAAAAACACCCTGTGGGAGAACACTTTTGTTTGAAAAACAAATATGAATTAGCCGAGCCTTATGGTTTGCAGCAAATTGCCCTTTTTTGCGTAGAGAATGGCGGGGTTCTCTTGAAATTTTACATCTACGGCGACTTAAGTCACTACTGGACTGGAGGTGGCAGGCGCTCTTCGAATGTAAAGGACTGGAAACCGGGACCCTCCAGACCTTGAAAAGATCAGCCTTAGTCTTCGGACACTGCTGCCTAAGAAGGTTCAAATGAACACCGTTCCATGAGGTTCTTTCCCTCATGCGATGTCTTTCTCCATTTTCCCACTGTTCTTATCCAAGCTATCTACCTTGCCTCCTTCATGGGATTCCCGTAATGATTATATTAATCATGCTTGCTGTCACCAGATTTGACGTATGTATTGGATGGGCCATCTGTGAGTGTATTGCATGCTCCAAATAACCCAAAAGAGAACCTGCATGGGTTTGACAAATAGCCCAGGAAAGCCAAAGTATTCATCTGCAGAGGCTGCGGTCTCAACTTTACTGTGTGTGGCATAAGTGACTGTCAGGCAGAGAACGCTAAAATGATGCTTATTCTTGGTCTGCTCAAGATACAGATGTGCCTATTTCTGCCTGTCAGAGGTTGGTGACATTTTACTTTTTGATGGACATGCTTTTCAAATAGAGAATTTCACCCACTAATTTTACTATTTTGCTCTAATCTTTATTTAAAAAAAAAATCCTATAGAAATAGAGTTTAACTGGGAGTTTGATAGGGTTCTATAGAGACTTAATAGGGTTTTATAGTAATTACATGAAGGAATGTACAGAATTGAGTAGACCCATAAAAAATGATTACCTACCTTTCGTAACTGTTGTTCTTCGAGATGCGTTGCTCGCGTCCATTCCATTCTAAGTGTGCATATGCCCACGTGCATAGTTGTCAGAGATTTTTGCCTTATCGGTAAATGTACGGCCAGCTGTGGTGCCCCCTGGAGTGGGATCGGTATATTAGGCGCTCATGGATCGGTATATTAGGCGCCGCCAGCCCTACACCCTCTCAGTTCCTTCTTGCCTGCAACTCCAACAAAGGAGTAGGAGGGCGGGTCATAGAATGGACATGAGCAACACATCTCGAAGAACAACAGTTATGAAAGGTAGGTAACCGTTTTTCTTCTTCGAGTGCTTGCTCATGTCGACTCACAAGGCGTATCCATGGAGGTGGGCTCGGAGTTCACAGACGTGCAGCTTGCAATACTGCTCTACCAAAGCCAGCATCATCTCGGGCCTGCTGGGTAAGCACATAATGCGATGTACGTGTGTGGACAGACATCCAGACATATAGAAGGCTAACGCCCTTCTGACATCCAGAGAATGCAACCTGCGCCTCTCCTCCAACTTAAGAGGTTTAGGGAAGAAGATAGGTAAGAATATGTCCTGACTCCTATGGAACTGTGAGACCACCTTGAGCAGGAAAGCAGCGTGCAGCCGCAGCTGGACCTCATCCTTGTAAAACACTGTCGGGCAGCTCAGAAGTGAGCGCCCTAATCTCAGAGACCCAGCGGGTGGATGTTATTGCAACCAGGAATTAAACCTTCCAGGAAAGGAGAAGGGGACAGCAGGAAGCCAGAGGCTCTAAGGGGGGCCCTGTGAGCTGCGACAGCACAAGATTCTGGTCCCACAGAGGCACAGGGTTCCTGACGTGAGAGTGGAGGTGCTCTAGGCCCTTGAGGAACCTGACCATCATGTCCTGGGCGAAAACTGACCTGCCCTTGAGCAGAGGATGGAAGGCCGAAATAGCGGCCAAGTGGACCTTAACAGATGAAAGGGACAAACCCCGGAGATTAAGATGCAGAAGGTAATCCAAGATGAGCTTGGTGGCTGGACACCCAAAATGGTAGAGTGGCTGTAGAATAAACCTTTCTGCCAAAGAGGTCCAGTTGTTTGGCATCTTTATTTTTCGGTGAGCTACTCACCTATCCATGCCTGTCCCTCTTGTTAACTGTGGACACAACTAGCGACCCCGATAGTGGGTGGGTGTGAAGATATTCAAACACCTCTGTGGGGACATAATACTTCTCTTCTGCCCTTCTGGACACGGGTGGAATCGAAGATGGGGTCTGCCACCGTGTTTAGAACCCAGGGATGGACAGGCAGCTTGATGTGGGCTGGGGTAGGAGACAACATGATGTTGAACAGGTCATCTGACTGCTCCGCCAACTCCTTGATTTCGAGGCTTAAGTTGTTAACCACGCTTTTAAAGAGAGCCTGGTGCTCCTTAAAGTCGCCAGGGGGACTGCCAGTCTGGGAGAGCCCCGCCACCCTTTCGTCTGGCGACGAAGATGACGAGGGCATCGCAGGGGAAGGGGCAGGTTCCCTTTCCCTTTCTGGGGATGGCTCCTTGGGTGGTGGCCCGTTGTGCTGTCCCCACGATGGACTCCACACCCTGTTCCGAATCCAGTGCTGGCGGTGCCGGGAGGTTTTCCGAGGCAGCCAGGGAGGAGTGGTGGAAGCATGGAACCGGCATCATCGGTACTCCCCAAGGGTTCCAACATGGCCACTGGGCAGGCCGCTGGCCCTGCTGCCACCCTGCCGTGCTGGTCTCGCAGGCCGACAGATATTTGGACCCCTTTGGCGATGGGCTGAACCCTAGCTCCGACTCGGACCAGCCCCCTTCCGATGATCACAGTGGGGCTGTGGAGGCCTGCATCTGCCAACTAACCCTTGTCAGAGACCGGTGTCTAGCGGGCGGGGGTTGCCACCTGTCCCTCGAGCGGTACCGGGACAGCGAAGATTGGTGCCGCAATGGTGAGCAATTCCGCACTGGCGGGGACCGATGCATAGGAGACCGCCTAAGCGATAGGCGCCAGCGCCAAGGCGATCTTAGGCGGAAGACTGGCCGGTACTGGAAACGTGGTGCCTCAATTCCGGCATTCATGCCTCGTGGAAGGAGAGCGCGGTGCCAGGACCTGGGCCGTCTAGCCGGTGACCGAGGTTGTGGGACCGGGGTCCTAAGCCGTGGGGACGGAGACAAACGCCTGAGATCCGGGGACCGATGGCGCTCCCCTGCCCTTTGGGGAGGTCCCATGCCCTTGCTTGCCCTTAGATTGCAGGGCCTTAGCCATGTCCGGTGCGAAATCTGTGGTGCCGGCAGGCCCACCAGCTATTTGGCTGCCTGGGCCATCTCGGGCGACAAAGGTCCCCATAGGGGCCAGGATCCCCTACTGCTCCCAGGAGTCGGAGTCACATCCCTGGCTGGTAGGGGGGTCTGACCATAGCAGTATTCCCCTGTAGCTCCAGGGCTGGCCCGGGGCATGAATTAGACCCTTTGCCCAGGGTCCCCTTCCCCTTCTTGGGCGCCACAACTGACCCTACGGATACCAGTAAGGCAAAAATCTCCGTTGACTGTGCATGCGGGCACGCACACACCAAAAATGGAATCGACACGAGCAAACACTCGTAGAAGAATCTATGATTTACTTTTTAAACATTGTATAAAATTCCATAGCAGGCATATAATTTTCTATTATATTTTATAGGATGGTCCAAAAAGTCTACAGAAAGACTATAATTTCCTATTAAATTTTACAGGACTTTTCCATCAGGGCAGTTCCCTCCTAAAAATCCACTTCTACTTTAAACACCCTCGCATCTCATATCAGCATTACAATAGCAAAAACGTAGAAAGAATTAGATGAGTTCAGTGATGTCACACGACTTGCTCTTGTCCAGTTTGCCCATATTGTAACAAATCTGGTGATGGTTCCACGAGGAAGCATGTCTCTTCTGTGATTTTCATTCATTCATTCATTCAGTACAGTAGGAAATCCTTTCTGAAACCTGAAGCTCTTTTACAAACAGCTCCAGCCCTTGAAAGAGCCATCAGATTTTGTGCGTGTTTTCATAGCACCTTGGAGGCAAGAGATTTGGGGTTTTTTTCATAGGCAGCACATCAGTTCCCAAAGGTGCCTTCCCGGTTCATCACTTTTTAAATATTGGTTTTCTCTTCAAGATGCAGCACAAGGAGTTATATTGATTAGCTTCCTTGCCAGATATTGTAAGATGCTAAGTAATAAATAATATTTGACAGTATCAAATATAAATTGTAACTGCAAATAAAATAGCAATGAAAAAAAGACAGTTCAAATTGTCAATAGCAATGCATAATTCTGGAGTGCAAGGATAATCAGGAGCCCCAGAATAGGAGCAGATACCCTACATTATTTGGGCAGAAATAAGTGATGCAGAAATACACTCTTTATATAATTGGTACTGAAGTCATAATTCCACTGACTGCCCTGCAGCCACACACCAAGAAGCTACATATCAAAATACTGATGTTTTATTTGTATTTTTTGTTATCCCTTGGAAGGGAGAGTTGCTCTGCAAGGACCAGAAGTTGTGCTTCATCATGAGGACTTGCTGGTGATTTGTATTTCACAAGAGCTTTGTGTTCACCACCAGTGGAAATCTACCAGAACCCCTGTGTGAAGCTTCTCTGGTACCGTTTTAAAACGTACAAAAAAATCAATAATCCATGTCCCCAGCGGCATTGTAGGGAGCAGTAAGGGCAAGTCACAGAAATCTTGAAAGTCTTCAGAAGACCTTATCAATCTAGAACTTATAGGACCGTGGAGAGGTGAAGTTATTGATTGGATCTTCCAAGTTCTACACATAATGAAGACGCAGCTGCTTGGTAGATAAACAAGAACATGAATGGAAGGGAATGCTTGGGAGGATGACTGTCCACTCTGATCTAACCCATCTTGTCTCTCAAACCTCATTATACTGCGGAAGTACAGTCTGGGATGTTCTACTCATTGAAATGTTCATAGGTGTCTGAAGGATACCTCCCTCCAGACAGCTGGAGTGTCAGAGGAATCTCTCTTCATTTCTCTTGGACCATTTACAAAGTGGGCACAACAAGACAGGCATGTGCTCCCTGCTAATTAACAATGCTGAGGACCCACCCCAAATTCAGAAATAAGTAAGAGTCTTGGAACTGGCAGCTGGACAGAGCAATACATTCTTTCAATCTGACTCAGACAACAAGATTCCATGGGAATTAAGGCTATCAGCAGGATGCGATTTGGGTAGATTAATGGTTTGGTTGATGCTGCCCAGAAAGGAAAAGCCACATTAAGATACAAATAAGATATATAGTTGTACTCTACCTCCACAGTTCGTGCTCTCATCAATGCTCGAGGCCGGCAGGATCACTAAACAAAGAGAAAGCATTGGGGAAAGTTGTCATTTTGCCAACAGTTGCAAATACCCCCTTTGCTCCCTGCAGAAGTTGATTGTGCATTCCACAGCAAGCTGCGGTCCTAAGTGGAGAGATTGGCTGACAACATGGAGCAAAATTTTACAAAGACTCTGTATAAACCCCAACGGCACAAAGGTGCAGCACAGAAAAGAACACTTAGAAGGGGTTCTTCAGTCTAAAATTGCTAAATATTTGCACAGGGGACTCAAATTCAACTGACACAAAGTCTCAGGTTCCAGGTGTTCATGAACCTCAACCTGTCAGCAAAACTACACCCGAAGAGCCATCAATGCCCTCTCCCCTCCCCACATCAGCCCTACAAGCCCAGACGCCTTGCCCCTGTGGGATGTTTCCCCTGAGGTGTCTGAATGAACAAAATTCCAGTCGCCAACATTCACAAAACGCTAGGGTTCATTTAATTAACGCCTCATGAACTGCACCCTGCAGGGTTTAATGGCTCCAATTCAAATTAAGCAGCTTAATTTACTGTAACTATAAACAGCATTGCCTTATGGGAGAGCTGAGCTGCCACATCCATTTCATGCACAAGGTGCTGTATGTTACGGAGGGGTTTTTCGAAGAGGTCTGCAGGCGTGTGATACGCCATTGCCATGATTTCTAGTGGCATCCAAACGCCTTAGGCAGCTCTAGACATTGCAGCCTATGTTGACTGACAGTCATTCCTCCTAAGAGAAACCTGCTTTCCTTGCCCTGGGGGGCTATGCTGCACCTACCGGGAATCTCGTTGTACAGGCAGTCTTGGTACTGCGTGCTGTTTCCGACGCACTGGGATGATTCTGGATTGTGCATCTCGCAGTAACGGCTGCGATACTGGATCCCGTCTTCGTTGCACAGGCTCCACTCTGACCAGTCCGACCACCCACCTTAAACCCAACCAGTCTGAAATCAGGAATAACGCACACACAAGGCTGCCACGGTGGAGGGCAGGGGGAAGGACGACACCCATACGATCCCAACTTCCCCAGTGTTTGGGGGCGTCTGAATCCTGATTCCAGTGCAGGCCCATCTCTAGTATGGCGCACAACAGGGAGCCTTCAGGGGGCTGGATTTAATTCCCTCAATATAATCAACATTACCACTGTGCAACCTAAGCGTCACGCTACTCCAGTGAGTGCAAAGCAGCCTGACGGCTGACTTAGCCAGCCCCAGAAGGAAAACCCAGACTAGGGGGACCCTCCTGGGGCTCAGAGTGGGCATAAAGGCTCCTGGATCAGCCCTCTTCCTGTAGTGGCACAGAAGCTGGCTGGAGTTTTGTTCTAGCTGCCATAATGCCCTCGTGGGGGGCTGCTGGCAGTCAGCATAACTTACTGCAGCCTGAGGGCTGCTCTAATGTCCTACTAGCCACCAGCCCAGCATGCAGCCAACTCAGGGTCAGGGGAGCATAAAAGTGGCTTCAAACCACCTCTGCACCCTTTTCCCATCTACCCGTCAAGTTGTGATGTGAGCTCCTCACCCATTCTGTGTAGCACAACACAGGGAAGGAAAATCCCTTGTCACCTGCACAGGCTGCGACTTCGGAGACTTCTCTTGCAAATGTCTCTCCTCAAAACTGATCTGCTTTTTCAATTATTTTAAATGGATCAGCTATCAACAAGATTTTGGCTGGCTGGCTCTAGAATACCAGGCCATGCTCTAGTGAACAAGTTAAGAGGAAGGTGATGCATTTCATTTTAAGAATAGGGTGTCTATTCCTAAATAATCTGCTACCTTTGCAGGCGTGTGTGTTGCAGAGCGCCTCCTCGGTGTGCAGGCCAATGCAGATATCCTCTCCGCTGGACGGCGCTGGGTTGGTACAGGTGCGGGTACGCTGGTAGTGTCCTCCCCCGCAAGTTGCTGAACACTGAGACCAAGGGGTCCAGCAGGACCATGAACCTTTTACTGAGGATCAGAAGAAATAAAAGAGAGAGACACACTGGCTTTTATTTCTCTTTCTCTGATGAACCTCGGGGGACCAATTGAGTCTCGACCTCTTAGGCAGCCCAGCCCAACCTAACGAGCACTTTCTGTGCCACTAGGAATAGAGATTTCCTGGTGCAATGTCCATGCCCGACAAAGGACAACTTAAACCAACAACGAGGTTAAATATGTTATATATACTCCATAGATGCTGAATCAAACATATCTGTTATTCAGCCAGAGGGAACCCTGTATCTTAGACTGCTCTAAAGGAAACAATTCTTTTTCATGTTTCTTTGTTCTTACACATATAGAATATAGCCACGTTCATAATCTATTATTTATCTATTTCCTGACAAGGCCCACTTCACCTACGAGGAGGCTGAACTACCTAGATTTCTTGGAAACAAATAGCTGCTACAACCCAAACATTTTTAATGCAATAATTAGTCTTTGAGTTTGCGTAGATTTCAAAGTGCTTTACTAACAGTGAGTCTCAGCACACCCTTGTGAGAGGTGTAGATCAACCCCTTTTACAGACTGGAGAACTGAAGCACAGAGAAGTTACTTGACCCGAGGTCACGCAGCCAGTCAATGGCAAAGCTGAGAATGGAACCCATAAGTCCGGGCTCACAAACCCATATTCTGGCTACTAGACATTCTTCCCCTTTTTCTCATATCCATGTTCCTTTCCTTTAAATGTGATTCAGTGCAACATATACCGGTATATTTATACACACAGAGAAAGAAGGAGGGAGGCATAGATAAACCGATATAAGAACCATGCACTCAAAACAGTGTGCAATAAATCACTGCAAAAAGTAAAAAAGAAAAGCTGTGCAGGGTGCACAAAAGGGCACAACCGTTAGTGAAAAGTCACTGGGATGTTCCAAAATAGGAGTAAAAGCCATCTTTGCAGAGTTCAAATTTTTAATTTTTATGGGCCACGTGGCTCAAATTTTGTCACTCTCATTGTGCTCAGACCATTATGTTCACATCTCTCCTGTCTAAAAATGGCAGCTTTAGCTTTGGGGTTGCCAAGCCTCCAGGACTGTCCTGGAGTCTCCAGGAATAAAAGATTAATCTTTAATTAAAGATTATTGTTGTAGGATGAAACCTCCAGGAATACATCCAACCAAAATGGCAACACCATTTAGCTTCGCCTTTGATATTTTAAAATATAAGAAATATAATAAATGATACTGCTCATAATGATACTTAGCAGTTATAGTGATTTCACCCCTAGGGCATAAAGTGTTTCACAGGAAGTGGCTAAGTATTGTTACTGTTCAGTGGTGAAGTGATGGCTGAAATTGTTTCTACAGGGTGAAGAGGAGTGGAGTGGGGAGAGTCCATGGACTACGAGTAAGGCCCTACTTAATTCGCAACACTGCGGAAATTGTGGATCCCACAATATTAGGCTTCCCCTGCAATGTTGACAGTGGGAGCCCCGTCCGAACCGGTGGCCGACAGTGGAAGCCCCTGCTCTTAGCCCAGGGTTGCTGCTCTCAGCCCTGGGGTGCCGACAGCGGAAAATCACAGAAAGAATAATGGACCTTATTACCACAAACCATAAGATCCATTACTACTTTGATACGATTCTCCATGGCTTGTCCGCAAGTCAGTAACAATTTTTTGACAATCATCCCGCAATTCAAGTAGGGCCTTCACTTTGAGTACTATTCTGGACCAGAAGTGCAACAAAAACACGAGGACAAACTCGAAAACCAGGTAACCTGGCACGAATACTCCCTGCTGGCCGTGCAGGAAATGCTAAGTGATGTCAGGAGGAAATGCCCATGGTGAATACAGTACATAAGCAGGAGAGGCGGGAAGTGTTCACACACAAAAATTGCCACAACAAGCATCTCTATGCAGTAGTAACCCACATTTGTTGTCCTCTCACCGGGGTAAGGGCACCACACTGCCCTCTGTTGGATGGAGCACTATGCCTGCACAAGTGTGTGTTAGTCACCCTCTAGTGGCTAGAAAAATGGAAATTAAGCTACAGTGCTGCTCTCTAGAGCATGTTGGTACGTCGCTCTCTAGGGACGACAGAGGGCATAAGGCATAGCACTGAAGTGTGCATGTATCACAGGCTGCCCAAAGCTTATTTAAATACCTTCAAAAAAGTGATACAAGTTAAAAACAGACATTTAGAATTATTGAGTCTTCATGAGAAGAGCACATAATTTTGTGGCGGAAAGAAATTATTTTTACCTGGGCAGGGATGTGGGTTACAATCTTGGTATTCCATTGCTGACCCCACGCAGGGGAGGCCACCATTTTTCGGCTCTGGGTTTGTGCATGTTCTCTTCCGGATCCGAAAGCCCAATTCACAGTCCCTGGAACACGATGACCAGGCCCCCCAAAAGGACCAGCCCCCATTGATAATCCGTGCAGAGGTCTTACCAGTCTTTAGAAGATCGTCAACTAGAGCTTCAAGAAGCACAAATAAGACACAAAAGTGTTAATTTTGGGGCAGGGCTTTGGCTTGGAAACAAACTCATTCCATATTCAGGCTCTGGGGAGGAATTCTGTGGAAACTGCATCCCCCAGCGGTGCTGGAAACCCAGTGCCAACAGCGTGGCTCGACTGCTCCAGAGTGAAACCGAAAGGGAAATGCAAGGGAGCAATCTGGTTTCCCTGTGCAAACCCAATGAAGTGAAAAACCAAACCCGCAATATCACAGGGGCAACAAACTGACGAGGGCCAGACTGGGCCTGAAAAGCACTGACCTGTGCCACAGGCAGCACAGAAGTTCTCTGCCCCATAGGCAGCACCAGGAGGATTTGTGCTTTCCCCTTGGGCCTGCAGAACACGCAGTGGGAGCGTACATGCCACACCTCGGGATGTCCCTCCCCGCTAGAGAGAACGGGTGAGGCTACACCCCCACCTGCAGCATCTCAGCCCCCTGCGGGCACTAGGAGGAAGCAGTCACTACACTCCCATAAGCACAGGGATTAAGACTGTGTCCCCTTGAGTGCAGGGGAACAAATGCTCCTTGCAGCCTCCCTGCCTGGTGCTCCCATGCTAGGGCCAGTGACAGTTGGGTCTAGAGACTCTTGCCATCCCTGCAGTATGTGATGGTGTCAGAGCACAGGTCAGCGTTTATTCCTGACTGCGCCCCCCTTTCACCACCACAAAGGATGCAAAGCAGAGCTTGGCCTCGGGCTCTGGGCGAGCCGGCGGGACGTACAGTCGGTATCACAAACCGCCGAGCCGTCATTGGGGCAGAACCGACTCTCCGTCTTCTTCCTCCCAAACTGCAGCTCGTGAGGATCAGCCAGCTGGGCGCGGCAGGTGTAGCGGAAGCGCTGTTCTTGGCGGGCTCCATTCTGGGTGAGGTTCACGGGCATCCAGGGGGTCCAGGGCGTGTTTCTGCGCACCTCTGGGCAGCCCTCTGGATTGCAGGTCTTGTATTCCTACCAACCAGGAAAATCACTTCTCGTTACTCCCAACTTGCTTAGGGATGAGCTTAATGACTATAACACGTCTGCAGCACAGCTAAGAGGCAGGAATTCCTTTACACTCAAGAAACCAGCACGAAAACACATGGCTCTAAGAAGGCATGCACCTGCATCACCCTGAGTGCTCCAGATACAATTCACCCCCATGCAGAAGGACAGCATGATCCAGAGGGATTAACTGGGAGTTAACTGGTGCAGAGGCCTCATACAGGTCTTCGGCATGGGATGAATTTCACTCACTGACTTGTGGCCTATGTCTCCTTTCTTTGTTTTTGTTTCTTTGCCGATTGCAAGCTCTTCGGAGCAGGGAACAGGTCTTTGCACACATTTGGACAGTGCCTAACACATTTTGGGCAGGGCCACAATGCAAGTAATAAATGAAATAAATTATACCAATAGTAAATCTCTGGCTGTGAACAGCAGTGGGACAATCCTGAAAGTTAAATCTACAGAAGCGCATGGCCCATCATTGAAGTAAAAGCATTAGCCCAATCTCCAGCACTTTATATTCCAGTCGTGGCACTGTTTACTTCTGAAGAGGCTTTTAGAAAACCTCTCTTTTGATTTGGGTTTCTGACATACACGGTGAGGGCGATGGGCCATATAGGTCCTCAGTCTAGGTCTGAGTTCCTACTGACATTTGTAGAGGTTCTGTATGGGTGGATAACATGGTGGTCCTGGATTCTGACAACCCCATCACCACCATGTTACAGGATGAATTCCAATGAATAACACTGAGTTCCTGTTTTTTAAAACGAATAAGGGAATTCCTTCTGGCAAGGGGATAAGAATATTCCTGCTTCAGGACTTTATATGACTCTAGAGTAGATGCCAAATGGCTTGTGAACAACATCAGAGGTCCCTGATCAAATCTGCTTACACATAGGAAAATCCTTCATAAAGAAAAACCTTTCTAAAACAAACTAATTCAAAATAGTGTGCACCCATCAGCTGACAAACTGCGGAGAAATACAATGGAAATGTTAACCAGTGCATCACCGGCAGGCTGATTAAATACACCTTCTATTGTCAAATGCGCGTGAGGCCCATTTCTGTGGTATGTGCAGGGCTCCCGCTAACTGCAGGAGGCTCCTCCACGGGAGTGAGATGTAAAGGAAAAAAAACTGCTGGAACGCTCTCAGTTTCCCAGACAAGCGAGGGCAAAAGGCCTGATCGAAAGCCAACTGATGTCAGTGTAAAGATACCCCTCCCTCCCTCCACCCCGGAATCAAGTTCCATGAGCTTTGGCTACCTCCCAATATAGAATGAATCCACTGACCTACCATTCTCCCCATCTCGCCTAGCAGAAGTTGCTCCTGGCATTTTTTACTAGCACAAAAAATGAAAAAATAAACACGAGCTCCCTTGTAGGCTGAATACAATGCCAGTAAATAATACATACCACAGCGCAGCCCGGGCAGGTGTTGCCATTCTCGCAGGACCTCTGCCTGGAATGTATCCCTCCACCACAATTCGCACTACATTTATTCCAGGGGCCCCACGAAGACCAAAATATTGGTAATGGGCATGGACTGTTCTCGTTGCAGAATCTGAAAGAGTGTGGGCAAAGCACATCAGAGAATCCCTGTCACTTACTAGAGGCATCCGAAGGACAGAGGGATATGGGCTTTAAATGCCACCCCCAAAGCAGGATCACAGCCATTACATACGTTTTGGGTGAAATTCATGTGCCACCGAAGTCAAACTCAAGGGAAGTGTGGGCTTTGCTGGCATGCCACACAGGAGTGAATTTCACACTTGGCACTTCACCCAAGGTGGTTAACCATTTAGGGGGAGATTTGCTAACAAGCTCGGCACCCACAGTCAGGGGCACATTTTCAAAAGAGTTCAGCTCTCCTTTGGATAGCAAAATCAATCTGATAGATTTTCAAAAAAGCCATACCCCCAGCCCACATGTGTCATAATGGCAGACGCTGGGTGCTGAGCATTCTGGAAATCTGGTCCTTATTTTAGGTGCCTAAATGGGAGGGGAGCGCTTCAATCTGTCCCCAGTTACAGGTGCTGAGCCCTTGATAAACTTTCGAATCGCACAAAACTAAATACCCTTGCCCCGCTCCTGCCCCGCCTCTTCTCTGAGGCCACACTCCCACTCACTCCATCCCCCCTCCCTCTGTTTCTCGCTCTCCCCCACTCTCACTCACTTTCACCGGGCTGGGGCAGGGGTTTGGGGTGTAGGAGGGGGCGAGGGCTCTGGCTGGGGCCAGAAATGAGGGGTTCAGGGTGTGGGAGCAGGCTCAGGGCTGGAGCAGGGGGTTGGGGTGTGGGTGGGGATGAAGGTGCTGGCTGGGGGTGTGGACTCTGGGGTGGGGCCAGGGATGAGGGGTATGGAGTGCAGAAGGGGGCTCAGAACTGGAGCAGGGGGTTGGGGTGCGGGAGCGGGTGAGGGTGCAGGCTCTGGGAGGGAGTTAGGGTACAGGAGGGGGTTCTGACCTTGGGCAGGGGGTTGGGCTGCAGGAGGGGGGTTCAGGGAAGGGGGTTCAGGGTGCAGGCTGCAGCTGGGCAGCGCTTGCCTCAGGCGGCTCCCCATCGGCGGCACAACAGGATTAAGGCAGGCTCCCTACCTGCCCTGGTTCCACGCAGTTCCTGGAAGCAGCTGGCATGTCCAACTCCTAGGCAGAGGGGCCAGGGCGCTCTGCACGCTGCCCGCACCTACAGGCGTTGCCCCTGCAACTCCCATTGGCCACAGTTCCCGACCAATGGGGAGCTGTGGAGCTGGTGCTCAGAGTGGGGGCAGCGCATGGACCCCTCATGGCCGCCCCTGCACCTAGGAGCTGGACATGCCGTCCGCTTCGGAGAGCTGTGCGGAACCAGGGCAAGCAGGGAGCCTGTCTTAGTTCCGCTACGCTGCCAACCAGACTTTTAGTGGCCCGGTCAGCAGTGCTGACCAGAGTCGCCAGGGCCCCTTTACAACCCAGGGTTCTGGTCGAAAACCAGACACTTGGCAACCCTATGACAAACTGCTCTTTTGAAAATCCCACCTTTATTGATGTTTGGAACACAGGTAACTAGTGTTTGAAGTTGGGCTGTACCTAAAAGCAGATTAATGTTGTTTCATGTTTCCTTTTAAAAAGGGAACATCATTTTTGTTCAACTTCTGAATCAAACTCCATCTGAATTTTAATCACTTCAGTCTTTAAACTTAGAGCACAACTGACATGCAGTCTTTAAAGTTCCTTTTGAATGGCCACAAATCAAGCCAAACATGAAGATGTCCAGAGTCAAGAAAGTGAAATGAATTACCCTTTGCACAGTGAAAAACACAGAGAAACCTGTCTTAAGTCACTACTCAAGAGACCAGCAAAAATCTGCAGCCAAGTAGAAATGGCCTTTAATGAAATGTCAAAGCTAGAAACCACATGGGGATACTTTAAAGCATTTGCTTAAAGAGTGGCTGGACTCTGAGAAGTGATTCTGTGGAAAACGTATTGTGCATTCCAAATTTATTGTCTTTCACTGATTCCAGATCAGATTTCCTCAGTTTTCAAGTAAAAACAGTTTTTTCTCATGCCCAACCCTGCAAACTCAACCTAAGATCTGAAAGTCAAACTGGGTCCTTTCTTTTTCGCACATAATTACCATTAACACTGACCTAACGGAGTGAATTGGAGTTGTAATTAAGGTGCAACTGATGTGTACGCTGACTAGAGTGTATGTACACCACTGCCCTCTAGTGGGTGGAATCAGAACTGCTCAACTGAGTATCCTAGGCGTTATACTGCTAATAGAGATTCTCTTTTAGCACAAGAGATAGGATCATCTGTGTTTGGGGCAAGAAGATGTCAGTTCTATCCCTGCTACTACGGCGAAGTTCTGAGAAATCATGGCATGCAGCACGGTGGTAACTGAAGTCTTAGGGCTTGTCTTCACTACCAGGGAGATCAACGCTGCTGAGTGTCGATTTAGCGGGTCTAGTGAAATCGATGGCAGAGCGCTCTCCGGCCAACTCTGGTACTCCAGCTCCCCGAGAAGAGTAAAGTAAGCCGGCGGGAGAGCATCTCCCGTCGACACAACGCAGTGAAGACACCGCGTTAAGTCAACCTAAGCTACGTTATTTATGTAGCTGGAGTAGCGTAACTTATGTCGACCCACCCCACTAGTCTAGACAAGGCCTTAGATTTTCTCAGCTTTGTTACAATATAGAGGATGGTCAATGTGGGTGAGCTAATGCATCTTAATTCTGGAATTCCCTCACTTCTATGTGCTTGACTGATCAGCCCTAACACTGCATTAACACTAGCTCTTAGCGTTTCATCTACGTTAACTTCAGACCCATCCTTCCCGCTGCTACATATTTATAACCTTGAAAGTGAATGCACTGCCCTGGATGAAACACCCTTTAGTGTTTGGGCTGTGAATGCCTCTTACCGCTCTTCTCTGCTCTGTCCCACACAGACCCTGCCCCCATACCGCGGAGCAGGGTTGCTGCACGATCTCTGACGGACCTGAAAGCCAATCCCACAGGAGGTGCTGCACTGGGCCCAGGCGGACCAGGGTGTCCAAGCTCCATTTCTGACAGAGAAAAGGGAGGGGGCAGATGAGAAAACAGGCTATTTGGGTTAATTACAATTCTTCCAGTTTCATGCTATACTCAAAGGCTTAGGCTGTAAAGTTCCTAAGGGGCAGCTCCACTAAATCACTGGGATACATTAGTTCTAAAAAGGCTCACTTCACTTCAGCCAGACCCAAGCGATAGGCCCCAAGTTAGGACTGAGATTTTCAGAAGCATTCAACCTTGGCCTAACTCCGTTCCCACTGAAGTTGATGGCAAAGCTCCCATTGACTTCAAACAAAGCAGAGTTAAGCCAATGCTGGACAATTTGAAAGTCCCACCTGCGGATTCTCTGAGTTTTCTGTGATGTTACTGTTGATGATTTCCCTTTCCCTTCAATCCCATTCCTCTGCAAGTCTCATTGACCAATCCCCTCCAATATCTCTTTACCTTCCTCCTCTAGTCAACATGCTCACACAACAGCAGACCCCAACATTTGCATGTTAAAACCCAACCCCCATTGCATGAACTGGTCCTCCCACTAAATGGGATTCAGGTGTGGTGGGTCCACAAAACCAACTCTGACAATGCCCAGGAGTTGGGAAAACTACCCCTCTCCATCGAGGGCACGCTGACACTACAGATTTGCTATAACTTGCGTTGCTAACTCAGGATTTTATCACGAATCCTGTGATATTTGGCAAATAAAAAACCCCAACATTTATTAATTTAAAAAAAATCTCATGATTTTTAACCCCAATCACAATTTTGGGGGCCTGATGTATGATAGGGGTTGGTAACACTACTAGATCATAAATCTCAATAAGACCAGGGGACAGAAGAATTAGATTACGGTCTTTCATGTGCCACAGATTCTCATCTCAGACTGAGCCACCAGATAGGCAACTATCTCTCTCCCTGAAGACCTCATATCAATGTGTTCCTGTTTCTAGTCCAGTAATCTCATTTTGTAAAAAATGCCACTTTCTGATGTCTACTAAAGAAACGACTCAGGTGCTCTCCTGTTACAGCCATGCTCGAAAGCTGAGCTGGAAAACAGATGTTACTTTTCAAAACCTTTACTGAACTAATAACACTGCTGGCAACACGTGCGTTTTAGCCTGGCACCAATCATGGTACAGGATGAAAGTTAAAACCCAAGTTGCCCTGAACTTTTTTGTGTTCGTTATCAGCTCTTACCTTCTCTGAGCAGCCTGACTTCAGAACAGTGCTGGATATCCCCTCCTCCCCATATAGGTGAAGGAATGAAAGATCCTTTTACATGAAAATCTTACTCTTCCATGTTTTAACCCACCTCTCACCTGCCAGTCCTCAATCCAGTAGGAGAGGTTTTACGCAAAATCTTAAAAGGGAAAAACACTACAAGGAGGATTTTTGTTGCTGTTGTAGCAGGAAAAGAAAATATATACAAAAAATATTCCTCATAAAAATAACACTTCCTGCCATCAGGTGATTTGTATTCCAAGTGGAGAGGAGTCTCAATGGCAACAAAAAGTTTCCATTTTCAGATTTCCAACTCCTGCTTTCTAATAAAACTCATCTTTAAACATCCTGCTTTCTCTCTGAGGAAACATCCCAATGGCATATGAAGTCAATTAAAGGAAATTCTAGGGCTTACGTGGATGTAGGATGACCAGATGTCCCTATTTTTCAAACCCTGCTGCCTTCCTATGTTTTATGATGGAATATGTATTTCAGCCACTTCTTACAGGCTGTTCCCACCACTGTTCCCGCTGGACCAGAGCCTATAACGTGAGCGATCCTGAAATGCTTGTCCCTCTAGTGGGCCTGACATCAGTCACGGACAGAAAGGGTCACCTCAATACCAGGCAGCAGAGCAGTGGCAGGAATGGCTGGCTCTGCTGGGTAGGCAGCACAAGGAGGTGAGGCCTACTCAGTCTGAGGAGTGTTTAAAGAGGGGCTGAGGTAGATTAAAGCTATATAGGATCCCGATTCAGGAAAGCACTCAAACACAGGCCTAAACCGAGCTCTATTAGGGCTAGGGTGACCAGACAGCAAGTGTGAAAAATCGGGACAGGGGGTGGGGAGTAATAGAAGCCTATATAAGAAAAAGACCCAAAAATCGGGACTGTCCCTATAAAATCGGGACATCTGGTCACCCTAATTAGGGCAGCACTTAAGCACAAGCTTCACTTTAAATCCACGATTAAGTCCCACTGATTGCAATGAGACATAAGCAAGTCCTGTCCTGAATAGGGACGCTTTCCTAGGTCTGCCCTTGTCTCATGCCGCCAGCCGGCACCAATCCCCTACGTGGCGTGATGCTGATGGTTCACTAACTCAGGGACCCCGGCACACAAAGGAGGCACCTGAACTCTCCCATGCAATATACTGTCTCTCAGCCCCTTCCATTTGGCCACACTTCCAAGGCCAGAAACACAACACTAGTGTGCTTAGCACATTTTAATCTTCACAGCACTGTTCAGTCGTTACCTAAATAAGCCTCCTGCCACTGCACTGTCGTCTCACTATTCCCACTGTACAGCAGGGGGAAAGTGAGCCCCAGAGAGGCTAAGTCCAACATTTTCCAATACATCCGCTCACTTGGAGGCCTCTCAGTTTTTGGGGGCCTCACTTGACACACATTCAGCCTGTTTTTCAGAGGAGCCGAGTCCCTGCAGCTCCTATTGACTTTAACTGGAGTTGCTCCCACTTACCCCGTGGGCCAAATGTGGCCCAGAGACAAGACGATACCAGTGGAAACATAGGTGAGGAGACCAGACATTTAGGAACCACCCTGTTCCCTTCCCAGCCATGCAGCAGTACCTTGAGCAATTTGCAATCTCGATCCTGGCCCCTTCGCAGCCGCGACCCCCGCAGCGAGGGCGAGGGCTGTCACAGGACCGTGACCTGCACATACAAGAGCCTGTGCTGTCCCCATCCGAATGCTCACATGGTTGCCACGGGGACCAGGGCCCCAGTCTCCCATTTGTCGTCAGGTTTTTCACCTAATTTAAAAAAAAAGAAAGAAAAAAAAGAAGTGACTACAGAGAGTTTACATTACTGGAGACAGCACCACAATAGACATGGCAAACAAAGCTGCTGAGAGGATTAAGATGCAGCTTAGACAGGAGCTGTCTGTGCCTGTGAGCGGGATTCAAAAGCTGGGGTTATTTTCAGACTATGCTGAGCCAATATTTACCCTCAGAATTCCACCCTGCATACCTAACATGCGTATACAAGCAGCAAAGCTCCCTCAGGCTACTACCGCATCCCAGAAGAGCATTGTCTGCCTCTCTCACAAAACTGCCACACCTTCAGATATCATCTCACACCGCCTCAGCCTTTAAAACACCACCACATTTTGTTGTTATCGTTATTTATTTGTCTTACCCTAGCACCTGGGAAGCTGAGTCATGGACCAGGAGCCCACTGTGCTAGGTCTTGTGCAAGCACAGAACAAAGACACAGTCCCTGCCCCAAGGAGCTTACCATCTGAGGAGAAGACAAGAGACAACAGGTGGATATGGACAGACGGGGAGTACAAGTGAGCAATGAGACAATATTGCGCAGCATGATAGGCAGTAGGTACTGCCCACTAGCAGCCTAACCACTGTCTTCCCGTGTTCACAGTCCAAAACTCCACCGTTTACTAAAGTACTGCTGCAATGTTTGAGACTATTGCCGTCAAATTTATTATTTACTATTTATATTACTGTAGCATCCAGCTGAGCTCAGAGCCCCACTGCAGGAGACAGCCCCTGTCCCAAGCAGCTTCCAATCTATTTAGATAACATAGGCAGAGGAGGGGAGATGAAACAGACACACAGAGGTAAGTGAAATGACTTGCTCGAGGTCATACAGCAGGTTAATGGGAAAGCAAGGAATAGAGCACAGGTCTCCTGTGGCCAGTCCAATGCCTTATCTAGTAGGCTGTGTCACTCATCTCCAGAAAACTCAAATATATTCAGCTTTGGGGTAACTGCTGTCTTTTCATTCTGTGTTTGTACAGCACCTAGCACTCTGGCCTCCTGCTCTGTGACTCGGGGATTCCAGGCATTACAACACAAATAAATAATAAATAATAATAATAAAAGATCAGGGTAATCATGCAAGTGCAAAAAACTGGAATAAGGGGAAGTTTCAGGCTGGGATTGAGATGTGTGAGAGGTGGGGTGTCCGTATCTGCTCATGCGATGCCTGGCTTGCTGTTAGTCTCATGCTTTCAGGATCGCTAAATTATCCTACAAAAGAAAAATAACCTTGCATGTTGGTCATGATTTATACTTAAAACAAAACAAAACAAAACAAAAACAAAAAATCCAGGCACAATTACTTAAACAATCTTCCTATTGAAATTAATTCTACAACCATTCCTATCCCCTCCCACCCCTCTCGCTCTCTTTCTTTTGCTACAGGAAGTTGCCCATCTCACAGACGCTCCTATGTGATGCACAGGCGTAAGGTCACAGAATTCTAGTGCAAAGTGAAGCCAAGGGCCTTGCGGAAGAGAAATGAGTTTGCGGAGCCCGGTTGCCTATAGGGGAGGCAGTGTGGCACCCTAGCCAGCTATGGGAGGAAGTGTAGAGGCCCTAGAGGTGCCAGTGAGATCCATTGGGTTCCCAACGCCACTTCCTGAGGATGTGCAATTTGTGTGTTGTCTTGAGCCTACAACTCCCTTACAGCTTCCACAGAGACAGCCAAACCTGAAGGGCTCTGTGGTGGGACATGTCACCTGGAGCTGTTCCAGAACTGTGCTTCTGCAATATGGTCAAAGTGAAAGGAAACAGACTCGCCATGTGTCAGGCATCTCCTGTGACATTTGTACTTCCAGACCCAATCCCAACCCCTGGCCCCATTCCCACAACACCCAGCCACAGGGTCGGCTCTCGGAAACTGACAACCTCTGCACCTCTCTCCTCTGGCTGCTCCCTGCTTCCGGAGCAGCAGAGAGGGACGGAGGCAACAGCAGTGCCACTCAGGCAGGAGTGCAGGGGCACATGGAAGGAAGTGCCTCATGCCTCCTCTGCCACCCAGCAACTGCACCTCCAGCTGCCCCTGGTTCCTGCCCTTTCTCATGAGGTATGCAAGGAATACGGTCCTGCACAAAACCCTGCAGCTATAGTGAAACTGCCAATAAAGACAAGATGGAAATTGGTCTTTGTGTCTCATTCCAAGAATGATAAGAACGGAATAGACTGGGGCCCTGGCTAACATCTCGGGCCCAAGTACTGAGCCAGATACAGCCGCAAACAAAACCAACATTGTCATGCTTAATGTTTATCCCTCTACAGCTTCAAAGAGCTCTACGATCATTCTGAACTAGCCGTCACTACCCGGTGACGTTCACATCTTTTCCTCAGCGCTACAGATGAGGAAACTGAGGCACAAAAAGGTTAAGTGACATGTCTGAGGCCACACACTGAGTCAATTGTAGAATCGGGAGTAGAACTCTCTCACTCCTCCTCCCCCGTCTGGCCTTATGTTAAGCTTTAACTAGGCACTTTTGAGAGCTGTCATCATCCCCCTCAGTCCATCTAACAGCCTCAGCAACCCGCAGCAATGACATGGAAGTAATTTAGATCTGTTACTGTGCTCGTCATATTGTGGCTAAGGGGTTTCAAGCATCTGTTGCAAACCTTTGTTTTCAACACATTGTCATTCAGCAGCAAAAATTCATTCTGGGTTGAAGGTTACCAGGCAAGATGTCCCAAAGGAGGACATTATTTATTTTTGGTTGATTTTGTGATTTTAAATACAGACGTAAAATTAATACAGCGTGGGTGTTACAAAATTAGAAAATTAAGAGAGCTACTTTCGAACATTTGATTCTGGATTATCATTTTTTCTTTTCTTGCTTTTCAAAAGTAAAAATCCAAATAGTGGATCATGCTGTTCATTTTTAAGCCAGAAGCCTTTGCTGATTTCCATGAGGAGTTCTGCTTAGAAATCAATGGTATGATATGGCCCGTTGCTTCCGTTTATAAAAATAAAAAGCTGATAAATAATTATTGGCTCATAATTGGTACTGGGAAACAACCCAACATTTAAATAAATAAACAAAATGGCTGAAATGTTGAGATTTATAAACATGTCACGTTGCAAGTGTGGGAAGTTTTTTTTTAAGAAATTACATATGGATTATTATTCCATCCTTAAGTTTGTAGTGACATTTTGAAAAGAGCAAGCTCGGGAATTTGGATAAAAAACCATGCATTGATCTTTTCCAGAACAGGTCTCCGTGGTGGCTCCTTTGTAGCCATCATATAAACGAGATACATTTTAAAACCTCTGTAATCAAATACACCTTTGAAATTATTACACGATCAAATAAGAGACTCCTTGTTAATCATAAATATACCCACATATGCAGAAGGGTCCAATCCTCCACTGCTCGCACAACTTAAATGTCTCACTGAGTTCAAGGAATGCAGAAACAGGCCCAAAAGCATCAGTGCTCAGAATCCAAGCTAAAAATCCAGACTGACCTGTTTTTATGCAGAGCAGATAATTTTAATGTATACTCAAATATTACAGGTGGGGATGGTAGCACCACCATAGTTGGCAAGTATAATAGGCCTAGACTCCCCTGATGCAGCTGCCGCCGCGAGACACCTGGGCCATAGTGGCCTCACTTGTACCCAGTCTCTTCCTGACTCTGCTCCGCCCCTTCCCCAAGCCCCGCCCCCTGCTTTCTGTGGAGTCCCTCTTCTCCTCCATTCCACCCTCCCCAGGAGGGCCCCCATTGCGCGCCACGTCCATCCTCTCCTCCACCTCCCCTACCCCGCAAGGCCCCCACCGCCCTGCATCCCTCCTCTCCTTTACCCCCTCCCACCCGCTGCTCACGGGCGGTGGGGGAGGAGGGTGGAGGAGAGAAAGGATGCTGAGAGTGTGAGCAGGGAGGGACCTCGCAGGGGAGGGAGCGTGTGGAGGAGAGGAGGGAAGTGGAGAGCAGCAGCATGGGGAAGGGGGGTGGAAAGGAGGGATGCAGGGAGCTTCATGGGGGGCAGAGGAAAGGAGGAACGCAGGGAGTGGCGGCGGGGGGCAGAGTGGGGGACCACGGGTGGGACAGGGAGCTAGCCTCCTTCAGGGGAAGCTTCACCCGCTGCACCACCTAATATTAATGCTGCCCAACATTTTTCATTATAAGACCCCGTTTTCAGTTCCATATAGCTTTGCCAGACTCAGCCATTTGGTTTTGGCTGGTTTTCCATGACAGGTTTCCGCTTCAGGCTGATTTTTTAATTTCAGCCATTTCTTAGAGCAAGGTTAGGGAGAAACACATTGTTTTCCCTATGTTAAAAATGTCTGATGTCTTTTTCTTTCAACAGCTCTAGTGTCCCCATGATTTGGAACAGGGGTTTGAAATTTGGCAGAGAGGTGAATCAGGGATGTGCCTTTTGCTGTCCCAAATTTGGCCAAGTTATAAGCCTTTGAAAAAAATCACAGTTTGCACAAGCTCAGTAGAGACTTCTTAGATTTTAGAAGCGGAATTCCATGAAGATTGTATCCATGCTGGGAGGACAGAGCAGGACTTTCTCTGCCTCTATGCCCCATCTGTAAAATGGGGATAATATCATCCCTTTCCTCACAGATATTTTGTGAAAGTAAAGGCATTAGTGTAGCACTCAGATCCTACAGGGATAAGTGCCACAGAAAAGCTCCTGAGGAAGTTAATCATTCTCTCTCTAGAGCAGAAGTTGAATAGGGTGCAGTGAAAAAAGCATGTGCTATGCATTGAACAATGAGGAGAAAACAAAATATTGAACAGTTGCTCATTAAACGAGCACTGACCATACAATACAGTGAATCAGGCAACGGTCCTGTGGAAGAACGAGTGCGTGATCATGTAATTAAAGACTACCATAATGCATACACGCAAAGAGGCTGAATTAATGCTGCACCGGCAACTTTAATTATGGTATTTTCTATCTTTTGAGTGTTTGATTTGCAACTTGAATGACATTCTTTTAACGCAGTGTGCATAATTTATGATTAATAAAAATGTTTATTTATATAGTTCCTTGGATAGTACTTAATAGAATACTATGGATCAAGTACCTGAAACCCAATAAGATAAAAATCTGGATTCTCCAAGACGCAGGAAGTAAAGCAAAAGAGATAACGGACAGGCATTCTTCACAAGGGCAGGCCTGTTAACTTCAGTGTCCCAGCCAAATTCTGAGTTGGGTCACTGCATTCTATTTACCTACATGCCACTGCATTTTAAATGGGTAAAACATTTTTCTGCTTACTGTAATGTTCGGTCCCTTCTGAGCAAGGTGTTTACCATGCACTTAAAGTTGGGTGTATGCTTCCATACATTTAGGGTTACCATATTTAAGGTTTTAAAAAAGAGGACACTCCACGGGGCCCCGGCCCCGCCCCTTCCCAACTCTGCCCCTTCCCCAAAGTCCCCGCCCCGGACCCACCCCCAACTCCGCCCCTTCCCCAAAGTCCCCGCCCCAACTCCGCCCCCT